GAGTGATTCAATGAATTATGGCAACATTTCTAAGAGCACGTAAAGATACATGATAAATATATTATCTGATAAAAAATAACGCCAGTATGGTCTCCTTGATTTTCATAGTATTTTCTCTCCTTCCAAGGCTGGGGTATTTCTGGATTTCCTCTATTCCGCGTCAGCGTCAGCGCTCCCCTACTGTGAGGCTATGTTCTTTTTAATTGTAGCAAATTACAATCAGGCTGATATAGATCAAAAACTCGTTACAGGTGAAAATAGTGGTGAATAATGGTGTTCGAAATTTCTTCCAAGAGATGTAAATTTATATTTTTGAAGTTTTTGGGTGCGCCTTTCCAATATTGCTGCAAATTGGTAATGTCAAATGGGAAATCGCCAGTCTTCTGGTACGTACTTGATGCTCTTTTGCATCATGTTCTATGAAACCAAAATCGTCGTCATAAGGCAGAAAAGAATTGTCAGAAACCATGAACTTGTGATCAATAGTCTCCAAACCCTCTGTATCGGCTAAGTTTGAGCCAAAAAAGGCATTGCTTGAAATTACGGTTTTGGCCACCGCAGGCGTTACTGTGCCTCCATATCCCTATTACTTGTGACCCCGTGATGCAGTAATCTCATTCCAGACATGCATGAAACCTTTTTCATATTCTCCTCTTCAGGTATTCCAAGATAATACACGTACATATTCCTTTTGCCAAGGAGCATGTCAATGTTGGAAATGGTAAAATTTTTGGTTACAGCTGTTCATTAACATATAAAAGCAAACTGGTGCCATATGTGTGCAAGACTTAGAGATGCATTTTTAAAAACTCTCCCAGGCAACTATTGCTTCATACAGAACAGCATGCACATGCAACCCTGAAATTTTGGACTCCTGGCTTTCAACGGCTCATATAATGATAGAAAATCACAACGGAAGGATGCTCAAATAAAGTCTGCTTCCACTAATAGTCTACCTAAATACAGTACAATATACATAAGCGGGCATCCGTAATGGCATATTTTCTAGTTAAGGGGCATTTCCGTTTTCTTGATGTTTTCAGACATACACATTTCCGGAATTTATCTTGTTTTTGCCCGCTTGTTTGGAACATCTAAAACTGCTATTATTTTATCACAGGCCTTTTTATCATTTGCAAGCTTCAGCTTCTGGAAATGTTCTGAATGACATGACATGGAAATATCAGTACATCATTGAAGAACACCGTTTATACGCAAAATGTTTCTGTGTCTACTAACATATGGATACTTGTTGAATACCTCAAAAATCGTTTATTTTTTAGACTGAATGTACCCCACCCGTATTACGTAACCTAAAAGATAACAATACAGGGTTTCGCAAGGTTGGGGTTTTCTTTACCCGACATACAGAGCTTGAAAAAATAAGCGTATTTTCTTAGTAGCATAAGAGAACCAAGATATTGGGCTTCTCAAACTCAATCAAACCTGAACCAAACCGGAACCGGCCCTATACCTCGGTCACGTCCACAGCACCAGCGCCAGCGTACAGTTATATGACGTACGACTACGATTTAAATACGCTAGTATGTAACCTAACCTACACGCGGGTAATGTAGGTCAACAAGCCATTACATTGGTAACCGTACTCATACACCAATAGCGAACTAGTCGACATGCTGTTAATTTACGGTTAGTATCTTCAAAATGCGACCGAGGCTTCGCGAGTGTATGCAGATCATTTTCCCAGACGTCATCATCCAAGGCCCGTAAATTTGTTTACCTTGTGCAGAGACTCAGGGATACGGGTGGTTTCTAGGAATGTCGAGGTGGGTACGACGAATAGTGCAAACTGAGGAAGAAGTACTAAATCTCGTGGACTGAGAATCTTTCAACAAGCATTAGGGACGTGGTTAGACAAGTTCAAGTGTCGAAGACTAAAGTGTGGCAAACACTGCATGATGAGAGATTGTACCCGTTTCACGATCTACGTTATAAGCCCTCCAGGCTGAGGATTGTCCTACAAGGGTGCGGTTCTGTGAGTGGTTGTTGCACCAACATGACAATAATCCGGACTTTTTGAAGTGCATGTTAGTCACAGGCTCCACGTTCACACGTAACGGGGTGAATAAATTTCGCAATACTCATGTGCTGTCAGTAGAAAATCCTCACGCTGTCCGTCGGTCACACTTTCAGCAAACATTTTCTGTGAATGTTCAGGCTGGCATGGTAAATGGCATGCTCATTGGACGTTTTATACTCCCGAATCGGTTGGACGGGAGACAATACCTAGACTTTTGACAGAAAATTTTACCAACCCTGCTAGAAGATGTACCTTTGAGTGTAAGAAAATCAAAGTGGTTTCTCCATAACGGTGCATCGCCCTATTTTAGAAGCGAGGTGCGTGAGTTCCTAAATTAATCATTTCCGAATAGGTGGATCAGACGTAATGGACTTGTAGCATGGCCTCCGTGATATCCAGACTTAACACCGTGTGATTTCTTTCTTTGGGGCGAAATGAAACGCTTGGTGTAATAAATTTAGGCGCACATGGTTGACGATTACGTCTGATAATTGAGCAAGCTACTGCATCCATTCGGGGAAGGGACTCTACTCTAAAAGTCTGCACTGGTGCCTGGCTACGTCGAGCGCATACATACATATGTTTTTAAATCCAACGGCGACAACTTCGAACAGTACTTATGAAGTACGTTCACCAAGAAAAAGTGGCACGGCGGTGATATTTCTCAATTTTTTGTTTGGTATTTTTGTTGCATGTGCTCGACAGAACTTCAGTTCAACTCAACAGTAGGTACTATTTTATTTATTTTTTTTTTATTTGTTCGCTCACGTTTCACCACAAATTAGCTTTGTTGTAACAAGCGTTGTTGTGTCTGAAAACGAAAATCCCAACTTTGCGGTCACCCGGTATATCGATTGTTTAACTGACGTGATCAATTTGATTTTTTGTTTTACATGTACATAACTAACTTTTTTCCCAGAAGGGCTAACTTATGATAAACGTAATCGCTTATGAATTGATGACAGCGTTGCAACAGATGTGCAGAGTCAACCTACTTGACGCCTTTTATGTCACGACAATGTAAAACTACCTCCCGTTATTTATCGTAATGTCTCTCTATTCTCCGTATTGCCAAGCATTTCTGTTGTTTGGCAACAAATTCTCCCAGCGATTGACCAGCCAAACCCCGCGCATCCTGGGGCCCGATGCACGTCGTGTGCATCATCTCAGGTTCGTCTCTAGCTCCTGAGATATATTTTTTAAACTTATTAGTAGAAGTGGCAGATATTTCACTCTCTGATTTAGTAACTAATATTGCCAAATCACATTTCGCGACTGTCACCAAATGCCGTGAAAAAGGTACTTCGACACTAGACGTTCACGGCATGGACGAGCGCCTTAACTGGATAACACATTCCATGAGGTCACCTGCAAGCGATATCATGCCTTATTACTGTATGGAGTAAGGCATACTGTGAAGCAAAAGATGTAGATTACTTAGGTAGGAGAACAAGTCACAATAGCGCCACCCTTGAAGCAAAAATCCCAAGAATTGTGACAATTACTTGAGCGTATCAATGAATGGTATAACATGTTTTCTTACAAAAGTGTGAGTAGGACATCAAATTAAAAAAGGCACGTAAAGAATAATTATTTATTGCATCTACTGTGTCGAAATAAAATCTAATATGCAGGCAGTTTCTCCCCATCAGCCACAAGTTTTTGGAGAAGGGAAAATATAAAATATAAAAATCCCAAATTATAAGCGATCTAGTGGTGAATTTTTAAAAATTAAAAAAATAACAAATCCACTTTTTAGATATACTACTTATCGTATTCGCCAGGTTCCAGGTTTAATGGTCCAGCAGTAGTCCGCCAGCACTATAGCGCTTCTCCATCTCAGCAATTTTCTGGAGAAATCTTTCTCCATGCTCGTCTGAAACTGCATCCAAATTGTCAGGGAAAACTTCTAAATGGTAGTGAAGAAAATGCAGCTTAAGTGACATATTGCAACATAAGGCCTTATAAGATTGGATAAGCTCTTCAACTAGATCTTTGTAGTTGTACGACCCTTTGTCGCCTAGGAAGTAGCCACATACATTTTTGAAGGCAGCCTATGCCCTTTTTTTCCTTGTAGCGCAGTTCTTTAATTTTGGTCCCAAAAAAGCTCTCGTTCATCGAAAATTCCTTCTTTAAGTTTTGCTTCACTTATACGCGAGAATTTCCGTCTCAAATAAAGGAATGCATTTCCATCTCTATCTGAGGCTTTTCAGGAAAATTTCCTAGTTTTATGTACAGAGGAGGTAGATAAACTTTCTGCTGATCTAAGAAGGGTTTATTGAGGACGTTTTTTGGCTGGGCACAACGTGCTCACGTAATGGAAAATGTTTAACTAAATAATTTTGGTTTCTGGCTCTGCTGTCCCATTCACATAAAAAACAATAATATTTTGTGAAGCAACTCTTCAGTCCTGTGAGCTGTCCAGTAACTTTAAGATCGGCACAGATATTCCACTTATTATCTTCATAACTACCTAATGACTTGTGTTCGAAGAGTCAATAAATAGCTGCCACTCGGTACGTATATAGGAAATGCCAAATTCATTCAGTAAACGTGGCATATCATGACTACGTCATTTTCCATCAAGAAAAATACGGGCAGCATAGACTGCCTGTTTCGAAACGTGAAAATTTTCACAGCTATTTGTAAAAGGTTTCATTGCTGCTAACGAGATGAAAGTAGTTGTGCTTTTCGTTTGGGAAGATCTAAATTACGAACTAGATCATTGAGCTCTTCCTGGGATATAAAATCTGATTGTTTGCTGCTACTACGTTCGCAAGCGACTTCCTCTTTAAAACTTGGACCGGCTTCTGGCTCCTCTGTGTGAGAATTATCTGGTCCATCATATTTCTTTGGAGGCTTAGGAAAAGGTATGCTAGAAGGGTCATGAGGTACGAGAGATGTCTTTTAAGTTTTGCATATGGAAATAAATCAACACGGTAGGTAGTTTTAAATGACTTTATGGTTTTTCGAAGTATTCTCCACGAAGATTAATACACATCTGCATGCGCTTGAACCAATTTTCGAAGCACTTATTCCACTCGTTTGCTGGCAGATCCAAAACGGCATTTTTGAATGCGTCAACTGCTTCTTCTGGCGACTGGAACCTTTGACCACGCAGTCTGTTTTTAATTTTCGGGAAAGTAAAGAAATCGTTAGGACTTAGGTCTGGACTGTATGGAGGATGGTCCAATAATTCCACGTTTTCTTCCTTTAAATACTGCCTTGTTTTTTGAGCGGTGTGCGAGCTTGCATTGTTTTTTTCGAAACACTTCGAGAACGGATGACTTCTGTTGGCTTTTCTTCACTTTCGAACACCCAAACAGCCGACTGTCGTTTATTGTCTGGTTCATAACAGAAAATCCACGATTCATCACCCCTAAAAATGCTGTACACATTTTTTCAGTTTCCGGAATTGAAACGGTCAAGCGTTTTTTGACACCAATTAACCCTGGCTGCTTTCTGCTCTTCAGTCAACAGGTGGGGTATCCAACAAGAAACTAATTTTCTTACTCCTAATTCTTCAAGTAAATTTTTTTGAATTCAGGTCTTTAAGATTTTCAAGGACGCCTCAATCTCGCGATATGTCACATGTCTATCTTCAATGATGAGTTTGCGCGCAGCATCGACGTTTTCCTGGGTGACTGTCGGTTTTGGTGCACTCACCCTGGGATCGGCGCTAAGAGTCACCCGTCCACGTTTGAATTCTCCATACCAACGAAAAGTTGTCGACGCTTCATTGCCGAAAGCAGACAGTAACTCAGGAAGGCATTCTTGTTGCGATAATTGTCTCTGAAAGTTGTAATAAATTATGGGGCGAAAATGTTCTCGGTTGAGTTCCATTTCTCTAATGACTTGGTGACACTAAAAAATTCACTGTAGTGAGAACACTGCACGTATTGTTGTGAAACTTCGAATTTAAGTTTACTAAAGAGTGAGGTTAAGAGTCAGTACTGACGTTCGATCCGCGCGGCCTACTATGTTTCTATATGCAAAACTTAAAAGACATCCCTCGTATTACTAGGTTACTGTTATTTCAGATTAAAAGCAAAGAAATTGAAAAAACTACCATCACAAAAAAATCGTGATTATAACAAGGCAGCGAACCAAAAATTCTATTCGTAACTGCTATGGTACCGTTCGTACTGGTATATCCCTAAATGAAGATGACATATAGTATAACTAATTCCGATTATGTTAATTAAACTCAATCGCATTTATTACTTGTTTCAATGCGATCAGTGTCGCAATGCGAAAAGTATTATTAAAAGTTAGTACCACATTAGATTCACACGAGAGTTGACAGATAAATTTACTCTAGGAGTCATGCAATATTTTAAAGGTATGGATTACACTGGGGGTTAAATCGAAAATCGATATAGAAGTTTATTGTTATCATAAGCTTTATCGGGTTAGCTCCCATCAGTTCTATAGTTCTATAGTTCTATGTATTCTTCGATCGAGGAATGTATTGTGTACTGAAACACTTCTCAGCATAGGCGTTTGATATATTATAGTTATGTTTATATCTGAGGATTATAAGGTAAAATGTACGAGTTACCTAGTATATAGCTGAGAACAACCAACACACAAAGTCCTATTGGTACTGGTTTGATAGTTGATCTTCCACTTTCGTTTATTTTCTGATTCATAACAGTAAATTCCCGATTCATCACCACCAGCAATGCTGTACACATTTTTCAGTTTCCGGAATTGAACGGTCAAGCGTTTTTTGACACCAATTAACCCTGGCTGCTTTCTGCTCTTCAGTCAACAGGTGGGGTATCCAACGAGAAACTAATTTTCTTACTCCTAATTCTCCATGTAACATTTTTTGAATTGAGGTCTTTGAGATCTTCACCCCTACAAAATCCAACCCGTACGTCCTCGAGTTCGTTCTGAGGGGCGGCCTTGGGCGCTGAACCGTGTGCGACCGTGTAGGGGGGGCAACGGGGTGCCGGTCTTGCGGTGGACCGCCTCGATTAGTTTTTGAGGAGACCCGCCGGAAAGCCGGTAGCCCGGCCTATCGAATGATTCGTTGAGCCACAGGTGTGTCGAATGTATATCTGGGACGCCTGCAGCTCAACGCTCATCATGGGCAATGGTACGTTACCCAACCCAAGGTGTTAAGCGATTCCGTGCCGAGGGCTGCGTGGCGGTGGAGATGCACCGTCTTAAACGGAGCCTCTGGGACACCGGGCGACCTCCCAGAGTATCCAGCCTTGCGTCCGTGTAGGGGCACCGCGGACGTCGATCACCACTTCCCCTATACTCGTGGGAACAATATGGAACCCGACGAAAACAAAAATAATAAAAAACCCGAGGCCCCCCCTACAGGGGACCCCGAACATCCAGGCGGCCCCTCACCAGGGGACCCTGATTGTACTCTGAGAGAGGAATCTGTCAGAAGCTTAGCGAGAGAGCTAGCGGAAAGGGTGGGCTCTCTAAAAATTAAGAAGAAGTCTCTGCCAGGTTCCGAAAGGAAAAGGGCTTGGAAGCGGAGAGAGGCGCAGATGACGGAGGGCTCGGAAGGTCGGGGCACCACTTCTTGGACCCCGGCTGGACAGACCCAACCGCCATCTGGGCTAGACGGTGCGCAATCCGGTGTGCCAGCGGAGGCCCTAAAGCGGCCTGGTGACGGGAAGCGGCAGAGGTCTGCCGGTGGGACACCGGAGGGCGCATCCTCGCGGAAGAAGCCTCGCACTGCGGCGCATGCGCAAATTAGCTATGCGCGAGCGTCCCAAGCGGGTCTCAGGGTGGCTGTCGTGTCCGACGGGTATCCTGGGACTCAACTTACTAACGTACAGGTGCAGCAGGTCCAGGAGGCGGTCAGTGTGCTGATAGATGGGATCCCAGATGAGGTGGCCCTTCCCAGGTACATTGACTGCTACCTCTCTCGAGGGGCAGCCATCTTTGTCTGCGAGGACGAATCCTCTAGGGCATGGTTGGAGGCCCACGTGGGGGATCTGCGGCCGTGGGAAGGCGCAAGGCTCATTACGATGAGCTTTGGAGACCTTCCCATATACCACCGCGTGATGGCCTGGTTTCCAGGTCCCAACCTGGACAACGAGGTCATCACGAGGAGACTCAGGAAGCACAATCCTGGGACTTTTCCCAGCGCGTGGAGGCTACTTGAGAGGAAGGAAGAGCAGAAAGGTGTCCGACTTGTCCTCTCAGTTGATTCCATAAGCTGTAAGGTCATTGTAGGTAACGGTAACAGGCTGTGTTGCGGTGGAAGTTCGGGGGTGTTTACACTCCTGAGCAAGAAGAAGAGCAGTGGGGCGACACCTGCTGGAACTGGCCTGGCTCCAAACCAGGAGTCGGACCAGCCCAGACCGACGGGAGCTGTGGCGGTAGACCAGGCTCCTTCACAGGGAATGGGTCGGCCGGGTCAGCTCTCGCTGGAACCACCGGAGGCTACGGACGTGGAAGCGGCGGGTCCAAGCGCGATATCCGCAGAAAACATCGTGGCGGACCCTGCGATGGATCTGGTCCCAGAGGGAAATGGTAGCGACTCGGACGAGGATGGAATCCTGAACCGAGTCCGAGAACTCCTCCGTGGAAGCGGAGATGACGGCGGCTGTCACAGCGAAGACTGCGGCGGCGACGGCGGTACGCCCGAATAGGGGTTACATACCGTCATTCGGGAAGGTGTAGGAAGGACCTTTCAACATCCATGGTAAGTCTTAATTTTATCCAAATTAACTTACAACACTGCATAGCGGCTTCGAGGGCCTTTACTCAGGAGATCACTCGAGGCCGACATGACGTGGCTCTCATCCAGGAACCCTGGCAGAGAAACGGTTCAGTAAACGGACTTAGTATACCGGGCTATACGCTTTTTAGCGATACTCCGGACACTAAGCCCAGAGCTTGCGTAATGACTTCCGTCAACTCATGGCAACTTAAAGAATTTACGTTCAGAGACTTAGTTGCAGTCAGAATTAGATATAAGAAGGAAGGCAGTGACAGGGACTTGGTTGTATGTTCGGCTTACCTTCCTTACGATTCAAGAGACCCTCCTCCGTCTAAGGAAATGGGGGACCTTGTCGCATTCTGTAGGGATTCTGGACTCGACCTTGTGATTGGATGCGACAGTAATGCCCATCACGTTAGTTGGCGCAGCTCGAACACCAACAGACGGGGCGAAGACCTGATGAAGTTTCTAGGGGCATCGAACCTTGAGGTTCTGAATGTCGGTAACATGCCCACTTTCAGCAATAGTGTAAGAGAAGAGGTTATCGACGTAACACTGAGCACGCTTAACTTAGCTCAGGACATCAGGGACTGGAAAGTGTCTCTAACACCCTCTCTATCGGATCACAGGTATATACTGTTCAAGACTGATGGAGAGATTCCGGATAAATATGCTCGGAATCCCAGGCATACTAGATGGGGGTCCTTTAGGGCAGACATTGACAGTAAGCTTGGAGCGGTCCCATACAGGCTTGGCAGGGGCTCTGACATAGAAGCAGCTGTCGAGTCTCTGAGCAGGGACTTGACGGCTGCATATGAGGAAAACTGCCCGTTACGCAAAGTCCAAGGTAAGGGAAAGGCAACCTTCTGGACCAAAGATTTAGGGGATAGAAAACGAGCGGTGCACAAACTTCTTAGCAGAGTTAAGCACAGGAGAGGTTCTCCTCTATGGGAAGAATACAAAAAGGCATTGCAGGAGTACAAAAAGGAGATTAGAAGGGCCTCCAGAGAATCCTGGAGGCACTTCTGTCAGTCCATAAATGACATTCCTGCTACTGCAAGAATACACACATGCAAAGACAGTAAAGCAAGATTGGGATCTCTGCATGATCCCTCGGGGGGGAATACTACTTCTGAGGAAGATACTCTGAGGCTTCTGATGGAGACGCACTTTCCCGGTTCCACAGTAGCGCGATCAATCACAGAGTGCATGCAGTTGCGCAGGCCCTCAAGGGAGGACTGGCGCACGGCTAGGGAGATTGTCACCTTCGAAAGGACGGTATGGGCAGTAGATTCGTTTGCCCCATACAAAAGTCCAGGTCTGGACGGCGTATTTCCGGCCATGTTACAGCAGGGACAGATTTCGGTTGTTCCTTACGTGTTGAATGTGTTTCGAGCATGTGTGGCCACGGGCTTCACACCTAGAAGCTGGCGGCAGGCTAAAGTGGTATTCATTCCTAAACCGGGCAGAGATAGATATACTGGCCCGAAGGATTTTCGACCGATTACTCTTTCATCTTTTGTGCTTAAGACCCTGGAAAGGATAGTTGATAGATACCTAAGGGATGGCCCGCTGGAAAGGTGTGTCATTCATGCAAATCAGTTTGCATACCAAGCTGGAAAATCGACTGATCTGGCCTTACACAATCTGGTCGGGAGGCTGGAGAAGACTCTAGATCAGCGAGAAGCGGCACTCGTGGCCTTCCTGGACATTGAAGGTGCATTTAATTGCACCACAACCGACTCTATCAGACTGGCCTTGGTTAGACACGGGGTTGGATCAATCCTAATAGATTGGGTCCTCTCTACTCTGGAGGGTCGGGTAACAACAGCTATGCTGAATAACGTAAGCTGCAGCGTGAACGTAGCTAGAGGCTGCCCTCAGGGAGGAGTTCTGTCACCCCTACTGTGGTGTATCGTGGTGAACGAACTCCTCGTTAGGCTCAGCAGTATGGGTGTCTATGCGCAAGCCTATGCTGATGACGTAAGCATAGTGGTTAGGGGGCGTTTCTGCAGAACAGTCCCGGAAATTATGCAGGGCGCTCTGCGCTCCGTGGAATCGTGGTGTAGGGAAGTCGATCTTTCTGTTAATGCTGAAAAGACCGAGCTGATCCTATTCACTAGGAGAAGAAGGCTTGACGGACTGGTCATGCGTACCTTCTTTGGGACTAGATTAGTTTTGTCCCAGTCAGTGAAATATCTGGGAATTATCCTGGACTGCAAACTGAACTGGAGAGAGCATGTGGAACACAAGGTTAGCAAGGCTCGCAATTCGATGTGGGCTTGTAGACGTGTTGTCGGTGTAAGGTGGGGGCTCAAACCCAAAGTGGTATACTGGCTCTACACGACGATAGTACGTCCATCTCTCTTGTACGGCTCCCTAGTCTGGTGGCCTTGCATTAGAACTGAGTCAACTAAGGCCAAACTCAATAAAATTCAGCGTTTGGCCTGTATTAGCATTACAAGCGCAGTGCGAACAACGCCATTGAGTGCAATGGAAGCTCTGTTGGATCTCTCACCGTTGGATCTGGTGATCCGCGGTGAAGCGAGAGTAGTCGCTCATCGACTGTGGAGTCAGGGCAGCTGGGCTTTCTTGAATCCGGTCAAGGGGCATACTGCCATCTTATTCGAATTAGAAAGGGAGGACCCTGTCCTTCTAAGCAGGGGTGATCGTACTACCCCTAAATATCGCTTCAACCGCAAGTTTATTGTGGAGTATCCAACGAGGGAGGAGTGGGACGCCGGTAGCCGAGGACTCTCCGAAGTGAGCGGGCAGGTCTGGTACACGGACGGCTCGGTCACCGAAGAGGGCTCAGGTGCTGGGGTCTCTGGGCCTAGAACTAGGCTATCTCTGCCTCTCGGTGAATACACCACCATTTTCCAGGCGGAAATCTTTGCGATTCTGGCTTGTGTATCTCACATTCTGGAGGAGGGTGGGCCTAGGAGAAGAATAACAATCTTATCCGACAGCCAGGCTGCAATGAAAGCACTAAGTGCCTGTAAGATTACTTCGAGTCTTGTATTGCAATGCAGGGAGGCTCTGGATTGCCTCGCAGCGAGGCATCCGGTATCGTTAATATGGGTACCGGGGCACGCTGGGATAAGGGGCAATGAGACGGCGGACATTCTGGCGAA